ACTCAGGTTGTTTCTTTGAGTGGCAGAGGCTGAGGGGAGACTTGATAGAAGTTTATAAAATTATGAGATACATTGATAGGGTTGACAATCAGTATCTTTTTCCTGGAGTTGAAATGTCTAACACTAGGGGGCATGCATTTAAGGTAACAGGGTGAAAGTTCAAAGCAGATGTGAGAGGCAAGTTTTTTACACAATGGAAGGGGTCTGAAATGCGCTGCCAGGGGTGGTGCTGAAGGCAGATATGACAGGGGCATTTGAGGGGCTTTTAGACAAGCACATGAATATGCACGGAATGGAGGATATGGACCAAGGGCAGGCAGAAGAGGCAAGTTTAATTTGGCATCATCTACATCAACAGAACTGAGGTTGAGAGAGTGAAGAGCATCAAGTTCCTCGGAGTGATGATAACCGACAACCTGTCCTGGACTTCCCATGTAAATGTGACAGTCAAGAAGGCACAACAATGCTTCTTCTTCCATAGGCAGCTCAGGAAATTTGGCATGTACATAAGGACCATCACCAACTTCTACAGATGCACCATTGAAAGCATACTGTCCAGGTGCATAATGGCCTGGTATGGAAACTGCTCTGCCCAGGCCACAAGAAACTGCAGAAGGTGGTGTACACAGCCCAGACCATTACGGAAGCCAACCTTCCATCCATGGACTCTATTTACATGGCTCGCTGCCCCAGAAAGGAGGCCAACATCGTCAAAGATCCATCCCACCCCGGTAATGATCTCCTACAACCTCTTCCGCCACGTAGAAGATACAGAAACCTGAACACACACACAAGCAGGTCCAGGAACAGCTTCTTCCCAGCCATTCTCAGACTGTTGAATGGACTCTAGCCTCAAATAATGTAACCTGCAATGTAACCTCTGTGCCTGTAAGTTTTTTGATCTGTACATCCTTTGCTTGCTGTGATCTGCTACTCATAAACAAAGCTTTTCACTGTATTTCAGTACACGTGACAATAAAATCAAAATCAAAATCAAAATCATGTACGGCACAACATCGTGGACTGAAGGGCCTGATCCTGTGCTGTACTGTTCTATGTTCTATGTTCTATCTCCATTTAACGAATGGGTCTGATCTGAATAGAATGTTGCATCAAAGGTTTTATTCTTCAGTCCATAACAAATGCAATAAGTTTTCCTTTCCGGTGTTTTATTCTAATAATCTTTCAGACTACGTAGCATTTTTCAGATTCACACAAATATGTCATGGCCTGAATTTTCCCACTGTCACTTGCTCAGTGCTGTTAGCTCACTGAAAATATGTAAATATTACTGTTAAATTGATGCATTTGGAATCTAGGGGTGAGAGACTTAAATCATGTGAGCATGTGATTTATATTCATAAATTGTTTTCCTCCATACTTTTCAGAAATGTACTTGGATTTCCAAATTTCCTACAGTTGAGAATGATTCCTCAGAGGATTATTGAGGAGCACTGCTCAGTTCAGACACTTGAATCCAATGCCCTATCTGTCCTCACAGTTAATTGCAAAAGATTTGCAGTAATCACTTAAAGGACAATGGGCTTCTCCCTGGCGGTCCGGCCAACATTCATACCACATGTGAATTGCTGATGTGCCCTGCAATGTCAGTCTCTGCCTCCAGAGTGCACTGTCAGTGAATAGTGAAAGTGCCAGGATAGTCACGATGCCAAAGTCCATGGATGAGGAGTGTCTGTGGTTGATGCCCAAGGATTTTGCCCTGGGCTGCAGTTTGGTCATAGGCAACATGGAGCAATATGGTGGCTCAGCAGTTAGCACTGCCACCTCACAGCACTAGGAATCCCGGTTTGATCCCAGCCTTGGGTGACTGCCTGTGTGGAGTTGCAGACGAATTCTCCCCCTGTCTGTGTGGGTTTCCTCTGGGTGCTCCAGTTTCTTCCCATAGTCCAAAGATGTGCAGGTTAGGTGAATTCGACATACTAAATTGTCCTGTAGTGTTCAGGGATTGCAGGCTAGATGGATGGAACATGGGGTCTGGATGGGATGCTCTTTGGAGGGTTGGTGGTCTGAATGGTCTCTTCCTGTACTGTGGGGATTCTGTGATTTTATGAAGGTGGTTCAGAGCAAGCAGTGAGCCAAATCCACCAGGTAGTTTCCTTCTCCAGTTTTCCCACTGTCTAGTTTGTTTGGTAAAATCTCAATATTACTCTTTTGAGTTGTGTTAACAAGGGGTTTTACAATCAATAATGACTATCAATCTCTGATACCAGGTGAGAATCTCATCCCATCACTTATGAAAAGCAAAAAAGATGGAGTAAGAGGATCTTGATGTTGAGACGGGCCTTGTTGTACTTGTCACCTATTCTGTCACACACCTTACCGTAGCCCATGTCACTCAGCCTCCTATAAAATTTCATCCTGTTCTTCAATGAGCTGGAAAACACTACTGAGACATCCTGAGGTTTTGCAAAGGTGTGAGACTCCAATTACCCATCACAGCACCCAGTGAGTTAAAAGAGCTGAACAGGAGTGCTTTAGTAAAAAGGCAAAATTGAGATGTTGAAGGAAAGTGTAAAGGTCACGCCTTGAGGACTTGACACATGCTGTTTTGGACACTGTTTCAGTGATAAAGTAATTGAAGAGCTTAAAGGAACCACATAACCATGATAGCTGGATATACAGTAAGTGTACTTTCTTTGTTGTGTGTTTACCTGAAGTTTAACCTTTCTCTTTTTCCCGTATTGTGCTTAAACATTACTCTGCCTGGAATGTAGAGACTAAAAATAGACTTGGTGTAAGAGTTTTGAGTGAGCCACTATTTGTTGTAGTCACGCTGGAATTGAGAAACACGATAGATGAGGTTCTGTAAGTGAATCATGAACTTAGTGATCGTGAATCAGCTAATGGAATAGTGTGGTCTGATTTGACTGAATGTTCATGTTGGATTGTGTAACATGGGTTTGTAAAGAGATTGCATTCTGTTGGTGCTCACAGCTGTATAATCCTGTGTTTGAAAAAGCAAAGCAACTTAGAACAGGACAAGTATGAGTTCTTGTTTCTTTACATTATAATGAAATAGATACAAACCTTATTAAGCACAGGCTGCTTCTGTATCACTCTGTTAACCATTGCTTCAGTAATTGAACAAGTATTTATTAAGCCAGTGAATGGCATTAAGAATGTTTATATTTATTATGTACTGCAAGACTATGAAAGTACCACACCATTCTTAAAAGGACATCTTTTTATTCAGATCAAACATAAAGCAAACATTTTCAGAAACATTCAACATGTAGCAAAAAGCACAGACCAATCTAAAAAAAAACTGACACTTATTACTCCCACTGTCGCACTTGTACCCTGATTGTCTCACTGTAATGACTGAAGGACAGTACAGCAGAACAGATTTCCAAGACATAGCAAGCTGCCCTAGATCCAGCCAGAAAGGAGGGAGTCCCAGAATTCCAGCTCACACTAAAAGTTATGAGCTGTTCTGTCAGGGCTCAAAACTCTGAAGAAACTGAATTTCTAACTAGGGTTTAATAGCCTTCCAGTTGGAGCTGTGACATCACATTTCTCCAAACCCGATTACTCTCTAAAAAAAGACCAAAAGAACTGCGGATGCTGTAAATCAGGAACAAAAACAGAAGTTGCTGGAAAAGCTCAACAGCATCTGTGAAGAAAAATCAGAGTTAACTTTTTGGGCGGTCACCGGACCTGAAACTTTAACTCTGATTTTTTCTTCACAGATGCTGCCAGACCTGCTGAGCTTTTCCAGCAACTTCTGCTTTTGTTCCTGATTACTTTCTACATGTTCCTGGAAGAACAGAAGCCCAACTCTAGAAGCAGGAAGGAGCACCTTTTTTTTGGAACTTCTTTACATTCCTTCAACCAAAGATCTTGTCTCATACACCCAGCAAGAAAAAGATCAAAATCTCTTTGGTGAAGGCAGTGATTCTTATCATTCGAATGCAGTTCATCTAATTCCTGAAAATAACTATGGGCCTTGTTTTGTAAGAATAACCCTTGACTGGAACAATCAAAATCCAGACTCTAAACTGGTCATTTCAAGACAAATTATAATGAAATGGTTGACATGGAAACATAGAGCAGAGAAGCAGAAGTAGGCCATTCAGCCCTTCAAGCCTGCTCCACCATTTAACATAACCCTGGTTGATCACCCCATTCAGTCCCCTCTTTCTGCTTTCTCCCCCATACCCTTTTACCCCTTTAGCTTTAAGAACTATATCTAACTCCTTCTTGAAAACATTCAATGTTTTGACCTCAACTGCTTTCTGTGGTCATGAATTCCACAGGGCCACCATTCTGTAGATGAAGAAATTTCTCCTCATCTCAGTCCTAAATGTATCTTTAGACTGATACTCCATCCCCCAACCATCAGGAACATCCATGTTTACTCCTTCCAGTCCTGTTTGATGGTCATAGGTCTCTATGAGGTCCCTCTCATGCTTGACGTTCTTTGGTGTAGTGGTGATGGGGATGGACTGCACTAAGGTTCACAGATTCAGGTGGTAACCAGTCTACTGAGCTACCTGTATGGTGGGATGGCAGTTGCACTGCCCTCCATTTTAAATGAGGTGGATTCACTGACAAAGAAACGCATGTTGGGAATGTTTAAAGCTGGAATTATTTATAGGAATGAGACTTCTGTGATTTACTTAGGAACCATTTTCAGTCATTGAATGATCCCACTTTCTGACGTGCTGAACTAACCCTTTACAATGTAGTCTGATCTACAGGAAAGACAACCAACCCTTCACCCGTACCCTGAAGATCGACCTAGAAGTAGCAAGCTCCTCTTTACCATGACTTTTAAAGACAAAACCTCTTTTCCTGCCTCCTACCCTGCTCCACAAGCTACCAATTCACCATCCATCCATGTCAGCCAAAGATTTCACCTCTTCTCCTCCCCAGGCCAAACCGCTAACCCCCGCTACACACCCCCTCCCTCCACAACCAAAACCGGTTAGCTACAAGTTCATCTGAGTTACTGATTCTGAATCACCTCCCCACCATGACTGTCAATTCCCGATCTAGGCTACCAACTCCCTCCCCTATTGTTGGCCATTATTAATTTCCCTCCGCCTCTTCCTGATGCTATCATTTAAAAACAGTGGAAATGAAGTGAGATGTAGTGTGGGCACTGATCCAACGGTGACCTCACCAGTGCCCACAGGGCAAAGGTATCCCACAATTCCACAAGTAACAACCCAGCAACAGGAACTCCTGAATGTCTAGGCTCTGAACTGTGTTGCTATTGGGTACCTCACTCGCTGATAAACCAGCCATAGACTCAGGCACGTCCTTCCAGTTCCAAATCGGGTCATTACTGAGGGGTGTTTCCTGTTCAGTTCCTTCTGCAAACTGTAATTATCATTTAAACACTACACACTCCAGTATTAACAGGAGGACCTATCCAGATCCTTTACACTCAGATTTCAAACACCAATTTGTCACATTAAAAAAAATACATTTCACACTCCTTGTTTGGTTTCAAGCTATTCTTCAAGTTTCAAATGCACAGATTGACAGAGGGTGTTAATTTCAAGAAAGCGATATTGCTGAAATTCATTTTAAAGGTTAGAGAGGGCTGTGGGACCCAGCGGGCCCTGTTTGGGGACGACGATATTGCTAGAAGCCTTGGCATAAAACAGTTGCAAAGGTGAGGCAGATGGAGATGGATTCATGCAGAGCACACCTCGATGATAAGGCTGAAAAACAACAAGACACCATTACATAGAATTGCCAGCCCAAATGCTCCCTGCTGCTGTTTAATGCTGCACACAAACCTATTCCAACTTACTTTGTCACACCCCATCATCATATTGTTCAATTCCTTCCCCTTTCATCCATTTGTCTAGATACCATTTAAATATAAGCACTTAACAAGTAGGTCATTCAACCCCTTCAGCCTGCTCCACCATTCAAGAAGATCATGCTTATCTGTTTATGGCCTTAGCCCCACTTTCCTCCCCGTTCCCTATAACCCTTGACTTCCTTGCAGATCAAAACTAACTCAGTCTTCAATATCTTCAATGACCCAGCATCCACAGCTCCCTGGGTATATGCAATTCCAAAAATGAATGACCTCTGTCAGAGAGAAGCTATTTCTCCTCATTTCCGTATTAAATTGACGACCCCTTGTTTTGAAACTGTGCCCCTTGTTCTACATTCCCCCACCAGAGGAAACTTCCTCTCAGTTTAAGCCTCCTCAACGCGTTTTATGTACTTTTCATTCTTCCAAAGTACAATACATAGTCTAGGAACAACCTGCTTTGTGTTCCTGATAAGATAACTCCTTTGTCCCAACAATCAACACCATGAAGCTTCTCTGAACTGTAATGTAAATATGTCCATCCTTAAAAAAGGAACCCAAAACTGTACTCAGTACTCCATGTGTTGTCCCATTAATGCCCTGCACAGTTGTAGCTAGACTTTGTCACTTTTATAGGCCAAACCCCTAGTAATAAAGGCCAACATTACTTTTTCCTTCCTAATCACTCACCGTGCCTGAATGCTAATTTCTTCAGATTCGTGTCAGGGATTACCCAGATTCATCTGTATTGCAGCATTCTGAAGTCTCTCTCTGTTTAAATAATACCCCGCACTTCAACCCTTCGCCTCCTTCTCAAAATTTGCTTTCCCATCACTTTTGGCATCACAAACAAATTTGAGTACATTACATTTAGCCCGTTAATCCAACTCATTGTTATAAATTGTAAAATTGTTGAGGCTAAATACAGTGACTACTATCAGATCTAAGAATTCTGTGGTGAGCAACTGACCTGACTTCCCAAAACCTATCCACCATCTCCAAGGGAAGTGTGATAGAATCCTTTCCATTTGTCCGAAAGGAAACCATCCAGGACAAAGACTACACAGTGTGGAGCTTGAGGAACACAGCAGGCCAGGCAGCATCAGCGGAGCAGGAAAGCTGACGTTTTGGGTTGGGACCCTTCTTCAGTCGACCCTTCAGATCCGAAATGTCAACTTTCCTGCTCCTCTGGTGCTGCCTGGCCTGCTGTGTTCCTCCAGCTCCACACTGTGTTGTCTCCGACTCCAGCACCTGCAATTCTTGCTATCTCAGGACAAAGACCGATCGGCACGCCATCAACAACTTTCAACATTTACTCCCTCGATCATTGACACTCAGGAACAGCAGTGTGTACTTTCTACAAGCTATACTACAGCAACTTGCCAATGCCCCTCCTACAGCACCTTCCAAACTCTACCATTTAGAAGGACAAGGGCGGCAGATACATGGGTACACCTACAGGTAAGTCACACTCATCCCAATTCAAAAATATATCTCTGTTCCTTTACTGTCACTGGGACCAAATCCTGGAAAACTCCCTCCTTAACAGCACTGTGGGTGAATCTCCACCCCATGAACTGCAGCAATTCTGAAGGCCACTCACCACCACCTTCTCCAGGCCAATTAACATGGGCTGTAGGTGCTCACTCAGCCAGTGAGAGACACACACTGTGAACTAATTAACATACTTTGAGGTCGTGAAAGGTGCTATGGAAATGCAAATACTTTTTCTTTCTAAATTTGGAGAATTACCGTTAATTGAAGAACATATTTAATACATCTTTAGATATTTTCTTGCTTTTGAAAAATCCCAGACTCGCAGAAATTCACACAAGGAAACATAATAACATGTGCCTAGCATTGTCCAGTGGATGTTAAAGTGAGTATCAGATGTTCCAGTGTTATAAGGGTAAATGGAGCTGCGTGTTTCCACCTGAATATGTGCTTCATGGTGCCACTTTGTTACAGGAAGCCTGGGTTAGAATCTGCTGGGGGTTGGTTTTCAATTCATTACCTGGGTGTCAAACTGATAAAGATCAACCACCCTCTATCAACTATTACTGAACATCTGAACGTAGGACGGCTCAGTGGTTAGCACGACTGCCCCACAGCACCAGAGACCTGGGTTTGATTCCACCCTCAGGTGACTGTCTGTGTGAACTGTGCACATTCTCCCTGTGTCTGTGTGGTTTTCCTCCAGGTGTCCCAGTTTCCTCCCACAGTCCAAAGATGTGTAGGTTAGGTGGATTAGCCATGGGAAATGCAGGGTTACAGTAATAGTGTAGGGGGTTGGGTCTAGGTGGGCTGCTGTTCGGAGGGTTGGTGTGGACTCAATGGGCCGAATGGCCTGCTTCCACACTGTAGGGATTCTATGATACTACAGTAGCTGCTGTTCTGCAGAACAGAAACAAAAGTCGGGACAGGTTCTATTCGGGCCAATAATCACGCTGTCCCCCATACATCCATGTGTTAATGATGGGATCTATTTATGTAACAGGTTAGTTGGCAGCTTATTGGTTGATTTCTGTGTTTGTGAGCCACTTCAATGGCATTGTCATCACTGGATCCCCCCATTATCACCAGTGACCAGAAACTGAACTAGCCAAACAGGCTCACTCATAAATGTCAGAGATAGAAAGAACTACCGATGCCAGAGCCAGAGATAACACAGTGTGGAACTGGAGGAACACAACAGGTCAGGCAGCATTGCTGCGCAAGTAAAATAAAATTAAACTATTTCCTATTGGATCTCTTCTTATCCATACTTGAACTTCACTTGATAGAATGACAATATTGGCAGACCACAGTAGTGTTTTGTAATTTGTTGGACTGGAAGGATAATAAAAAACTGATTGTCTGTTGAGATGAGAGAGAGAGAGAGCTTGGTGTGTGTGTGTAAGGATTTTAAGAGAGCATATGGAAAAGGTTGGATATCAGTTTTCTGTGTTTTGGTAAAAACAAACTTCTGCAAGTGGTTTTGCAATCTCTGGTCTTGTTCTGTAATCAGCACGAGTGTACTATCATGGGGCATCAATCACCTTGTGAAAAGGATATTGAATTTCTTTTCCAGCTGACAAATTTTCTAGGTGGCCCCCTGCTATGCAGGAGAAAGTGTAGGAAGGGTAATGGAATATAAAAGGGGAAAGCTTTAGGAACTAACAAATGTGCAGGAGAAACCAGATCAACAGGCACACCCTCATTGAAAATTACTGACATCTGAACACACGATTAAAGCACAAATAATGAAACCGTGCACCGTAAATTATAATCCTTTGGATTTAGATTGCCAATTTATAAATCTATAAAGACCAGGAGAAACAGGAACAGGAGTAGGCTGTTCAGCTCCTGCTCCACCATTCAATAGGATCATGGCTGATCCAACATTCCTCACATCCACTTTCCTGCCCTTTCCCTGTAACCCTCGACTCCACTAATGAACAAGAATTTATCTCAGTCTTAAATTTACACAAGGATTCTACCCCCACAGCTCTCTCTGTGGCAAGGAGTTCCAGAGACTCACAACCCTCTGAGAGAAGAAATTCCTCCTCATCTCAGTCTTAAATGGGTGACTTCTTATTCTGAGTTGATGCTGTCTGGTCCTAGACTGTCCCACAAGGAGAAACAACCTTTCTGCACCTAACCTCTCAAGTTCCCTAACAATGTTTTATGTTTCAAAAAAGTCACGTCTCATTCTTCCAGTGAGTACGGGCCCAATCTTCTCTACTTCTCCTCATAAGACAGTCCCTCCGTATCTGGCATCAGCAGTGAACCTTCTCTGGATTGCCTCCAGTGCTAGTATATCTATCCTTAGTTAAGGATTCAAAATTGTGGTCAGACTAGTGCCTTGTATAGTTTTAGGAAAACCTCCCTACTTTTAAACTCCATTCTCTTTGAAATAAAGGCCAAATTCTTTCTTTCTCAATCCTTGAAAAGATCGTTGATTGAACAGCTAGGCGGCCAGTTGCATCGTTTGCTAAAGCACCAGATGCCTCAACGCCCTCAGCTACTAACAGCTCACACTTCAAGCAAAGGACAGTTTGATTGTGAATATTTGAGCTAAGGAGTTTGGGAGGAAGTCTAAGTAAAGACCTCAGTGGATGTCTCTCCCACTGCAACCCTGTGATCCCCACCCCTCCTCTCTATATTTATTTCTGAGCTCCCTTCCCCCTCCCCATTTCTGAAGAAGGGTCCCAACCTGAAATGTCAACTTTCCTGCTCCCCGATGCTGCTTGGCCTGCTGTGTTCCTCCAGCTCCACACTGTATTATCTCTGACTCCAGCATCTTCAGTTTTTGCTATCAGGGGGCTGTCTAACTTCTTCAGAGTTATATTTAAGTAAATAGCAAGTCAGGGATGGCAAGAATAATTAGCATAATTTGCATCCCCGTTGCCCTAGGGTATAGTGCGAAAACCCATCAATGTGTGACTAAAATCCTGCCTAACCCACCATCAACTGTGGAGTCATTGCTGAGCAATATCTCACCAATGTGGCAGTGCCCCATATTGTTAGCTGGCCTGTGTCTACATAAATTCAAAAAGTTATTTTTAACAAAAAAGGGCAGCATGGTGTCTCAGTGGTTAGCACTGTTACCTCACAACACCAGGGACCTGGTTTCAATTCCACCCTCAGGTGACTGTCTATGTGGAGTTTGAACATTCTCCCTGTGTCTGTGTAGGTTTCCTCCCACAGTCCAAAGATGTGCAGGCGAGGTGGATTGGCTGTGAGAAATTGCCCATAGTACCCAGGGATGTTGAGGCTCGGTAGATTAGTCATGGGAAATGCAGGATAGAGGAGGTGGGTGGGATGCTCTTTGGAGGGTTGGTGTGGACTCAATGGGCCGAATGGCCTGCTTCCACACTGTAGGGATTCTATGATAACTGGCACATATTTTATAGTACAGCTTCTCGGCAAAATGTGGCTCATTCTTTGAATGCATTGTGAAATGTTGATGACCCTGATCCACCAGCACTGGCTTCAACCAGCTGAGAGGGAAATGTCCAAGCTGGGAACAGAACTTTCCTGTACCACTTCGCACTAGAATTAAATTCAAAAGTGAAGTTCACTTGTAAGCTGAATGTCGTATAAATATATGCACGTAATATTTCTCTCTCTCTCCCATGTATAGGTACAGAAATCTTAAATATTTCAAAGCCTGACCTGGAGTAATGATCATGGTTCACCAGGATGCAACTGGGGGAGGACGAGGCATCGGGGGCTGGAATGCCAGGTTCTGCATGGACTGTAAAAGCTGCATGGCTGAGGACTTTTGATGAGCTCGGGATGGCAAGGCCCCCGGGAGAAAGTTTTTCTGTTGCCCTGAGCTATTCTGTAAATAATGAGAAAACACCGGTGAAAACTCTCTGACGTAAACTCAACTGCACAGTTTAAGATCACTGAGAACGTCTCACACAGCCTTTGCCAGGCAATCGGAGAGCAAGGGAGCTCAGGAGGAGGCCATTCTGTCAAACCTGTGTAAACAAGGAGGAAAGAATGCATTCATTTGGTTAAAGAAAATTGGTAGTGGAATCACTGGAGTGAAGAGTAGGCGAGAATAGTTAGCCATCTGTCTTCATTCAACATTATTCTCACCACCAGATGTCTAGAATATCCTCCTGGGTTTATGGAGATCCCATTTTGGGCATTTTGGACCATCTTGTCTCCCTAACTCAAAGAACGAGCCACATCTTGCTGAAAAGCTGCAGCGCACAACACATGCCAGTTACTTAGACTTCATTCCACACTCCTCATCTTGAATGTCATTCAGACCGTCTTTGGCTTGAAGTGGGCGGCAAGGTGGCTCAGTGGTTAGCACTGCTGCCTCACAGCGCCAGGGACCCGGGCTTAATTCCACCCTCAGGCAACTGTCTGTGTAGAGTTTGCACATTCTCACCGTGCCTGCATGGGTTTCCTCTGGATGCTCCGGTTTCCTCCCACAGTCCAAAGATGTCCAGGTTAGGTTGGATTGGTCATGCTAAATAATTGCCCCTTAGTGTCCAGGGATGTGTATTTAGTGGGTTAGCCATGGGAAATGCAGGGTTACAGGGAATAGGGTGGATCTGGGTGTGATGCTCTTAGGAAGGTTGGTGTGGACTCGATGGGTTGAATGACCCGCTTCTAACCCAAACACTTTGTTCTTCTAGGTTAGGCATTCTTGCCTTGATGGCAGGATTTTGGATAAAAGGCCTACAGCAGGAGAAGGAGTTACATTTATTCTTCCTCAAAATCATTTGATAATGCGAACACAATGCAAAACGCAGAGGAACAGGAGGAAGCCAATCAGTCTTTTAGATCTATTCCGCCATTCTAGAACATGGCTTGTCTCCACCTTAGCAGGATCTACCTGTCCCTGCTCTCATAACCCTTAATACACTAACCCAACAAAAATTTCTAAGGCTCAGTTACCCTCTCTGTGAGTAAGTACTACTTGACATCACAGTTTAATGGCCTGCCTGTAATTTTAATGTTGTGTCCCTGGACACCACCAATACCACCCACCAGCGCCCCCTCCACCTCACACACACTCCCACTCACACACACACACACAGACACACACACACACATTGTGTCACACACACACTGTCTCACACACACACACACTCTCTGTCTCTCTCACACACACACACTGTCTCACACACACACACACACACACACACACATGCACACACTGTCTCTCTCTCTCTCTCTCTCACATACACACACACACACACACACACACTCTCACTCACACACACACATACACATTGTGTCATATACATACTGTCTCTCACATACTCACTCTCACAAATACTCTCTCACGTTCACACAGACACTCTCACTCTCACAGACACTCTAACTCACACACACACTCTCGCTCACTCACATACAGAGAATTCTGTAAGAGCCTGTTTTGTGCATCGTGTCCTCATAATGTAACCTCTGTGTTCCTGTATCATTCTGGTTGGTCCACACTCTGCAGCCCCCAAAATTAATATGTCCTTCCTGAGGGGCAGTGCCCATACCTAAAAGCAGTTAGTCCAGGTGTCTTGAACTAAATGCAATTAGTCCAGATGTTTCTATCTAAATGCAGTTACTCCAGATGTTCCTATGCGGAGCCTCTTACAAGTGAGGAATGATGTTCTGAGAGAGTTGAGAACAATGGTTCCTTTCAGTGGTGGAGAATGCTTTGTTGAGTGTAGAACAAAAGGCCCCTGGTCTTTGTTAAATGATTTGACCTGAGAGTTTAGGAACTACGGTCTCACTCATCATCCCTGGGATACAGAGAGTTATTCAACTGGGGTTCTAGGCATAACCAGAGAGGGTTACAGTGTGCGTTAGAAAAGGAAGGTAGGTAACTGTGTGGCTTGGGAACTTTTGTCATATGTTGTATTGCAAGTTTCAGAGGATGGGGAGAGCTACCCCATCAGTCTGGTATCAAAATGTGAGCATAAATGACAGTTTGGGATCAACAACTTGTTGTTAGAGTCAGCCTGGCTTGTTTCCTATTGTGTGGGGGTGGTACTTGCTGTGGAAGATAGGGTAGGTCAGTTCTGCTTCCCAATGTTCTGGCCTCTTAATCTGGATTGATAGCAACCGGTACTAGATTAGAGGTTGAACATAGAGATTTACCAAAGTGAGACCAGTGTTCACGGGAAAACAAAAGACTTTGAGACTCTATACCGTCTCCTTATTGATGTTGAACAGTCCTAAGAATGTGATGACTGGCCCACCTTTAAGAGTATGGCCTTTTTGAATTCTGCTGCTGATTTTTGATCCTCTGTCTTGGGAAGAAAGAATGGTTCTTGGGTCTGAAGCCTTCACTTTGCCAGAAAGACCCAACATCCTTTCAGTCGCACCTGTATCCAACAAAGAAACTGGCGGCTTTGAGCCCTCAAGCTGACTCTGGACCAAGTGTCAACTTGAAATGAAGGAAGGTTGGTGTCATAGCAACTTGACAAGGCCTTCCTTTGCTCCAGGCTCAAGATGATGGCCTGCTGGTATTATTACTAGACTATTAATCCAGAAACTCAGCTCATGTTTTGGGGACCTAGGTTCGAATCCCGCCACGGCAGATGGTGGAATTTGAATTCAATAACAATATCTGGAATTAAGAATCTACTTGTTATGTTTGTAATTCACTGAGAACCACGAATATACACAGTGGAGGCATAGGTAAAACTCTGAACATAAACACTTGGATCGCTCAGTGGTTAGCATTACAACCTCAAAACACCAGGGACCCAGGTTAAATTTTAGTGTTGTGTGACTGTCCATGTAGAGTTCGCACGTTCTCCCAGGTGCTCTGGTTTCCTCTCATAGTCCAAAGATTTACAAGTTATGTGGATTGACCATTGCCCTATAGTGTGCAAGCTGGGTGGGTAAGCCATGGGTACAAGGATTGCAGGGGATGGGTCTAGGTG